TACATAATAAAACATACAATACTATAACATGATATGATATGATATGATATAAATATAATACTGTTTCAATGATGGCATAAAACATGTACGAAAAAGGCTACCGCCTATCTATAGCTGACCTAAACCGTTTCGATGAGGACATAAAACGTACAAAAACGCTTCCGCCTATAGCTGACCTATACTGTTTCGATGAGGACATAAAACGTACAAAAAGGCTTCAGCCTATAGCTGACCTAAACCGTTTCGATGAGGACATAAAATATTTCAACCTCGCCACAAACTCCAGGGGGCTCCAGTGGCTAGTTAAGTAGTAAGTTTAGTCTCAAGTAATGTCAAGCAAGTGTCGGTGACACGGGGATAAGATGGGAGGTCACTGGGGTGTGTCCTTGAGCAAGACACGACAACCCTAGCTCAAAATACAGGACGCTGCACAGTGGCGACCGACAGTGGCATGTTTGTAAACTGTTCTGTATTTGTGTATTATTGTGTATTTATGTATGTATTTGCGCACTTATTTTATTACGTACGCATTTATAATTATGTATTTGTGCATGTATGTATGTACCCATTTATTATTATGTACTTATGTATGTATGGATGTACGTATTTATAATTGGGTATTTATGTATGTACGTATTTATAATTATGTATTTATGTTTGTATGTGTGTAAGTATTTATAATTATGTATGTAGGTATTTACGTATTTATAATTATGTATTTATGTATGTATGTATGTACATATTTATAATTATGTATTTATGTATGCATGTGTGTAAGTATTTATAATTATGTAAGTATGTATGTGTATGTATGTTTGCCATTGTAAACCAAAGTGCCCTTCTGGGACAAATAAAAGCGTAATCTATTTATTTCTCGTTATTTCAACTCTCACCTGGGCTTGGCCTGTTTCCTCAACAGCTCAGGCGCCCGGATCAGTTTGTCCAGAGTTTTCACAATGATGCCCAGCTTGGGCCGGTGGGAGCGCTCCTTCTGCCAGCAGTCTAGCATGAGCTGGTGAATAGCCTCAGGGCAGTCCTGGGAGGGAGGGAGGGGGAGGGTGAGGTGGGGGAGGAGGAGAGAAAGGGAGGGGAGTGGTTATTA